TGAGAAGAGTGGATATAAGATGTGTGATAAGAGTGATGAGAGAGGATTTGAGATGTGTAATAAGCGATAAGAGGGGATTTGAGATGCGTGAGAAGAGTGTATATGAGATGTGTAATAAGAGTGATGAAAGAAGATTTGAGATGTGTAATAAGGATAAGAGGGGATTTGAGATGTGTAATAAGCGATAAGAGGGGATTTGAGATGCGTGAGAAGAGTGTATATGAGATGTGTAATAAGAGTGATGACAGAAGATTTGAGATGTGTAATAAGGGATAAGAGGGGATTTGAGATGTGTAATAAGCGATAAGAGGGGATTTGAGATGTGTAATAAGCGATAAGGGGGGATTTGAGATGTGTGAGAAGAGTGGATATGAGATGTGTATTAAGAGTGATGAGAGAGGATATGAGATGTGTAATAAGAGTGATGAGAGAGGATTTAAGATGTGTAATAAGCGATAAGAGGGGATTTGAGATGTGTAATAAGCGATAAGAGGGGATTTGAGATGTGTGAGAAGAGTGGATATAAGATGTGTGATAAGAGTGATGAGAGAGGATTTGAGATGTGTAATAAGGGATAACAGAGGATTTGAGATGTGTAATAAGCGATAACAGGGGATTTGAGATGTGTAATAAGCGATAAGAGGGGATTAGAGATGTGTGAGAAGAGTGGATATGAGATGTGTAATAAGGGTGATGAGAGGGGATTTAAGATGTGTAATAAGCGACAAGAGGGGATTTGAGATGTGTGAGAAGAGTGGATATGAGATGTGTTTGATAAGAGTGATGAGAGGGGATTTGAGATGTGTAATAAGCGATATGAGGGGATTTGAGATGTGTGAGAAGAGTGGATATGAGATGTGTAATAAGAGTGATGAGAGAGGATTTGAGATGTGTAATAGGCGATAAGAGGGGATTTGAGATGTGTAATAAGCGATAAGAGGGGATTTGAGATGTGTGAGAAGGTTGGATATGAGATGTGTATTAAGAGTGACGAGAGAGGATTTGAGATGTGTAATAGGCGATAAGAGGGGATTTGAGATGTGTGAGAAGAGTGGATATGAGATGTGTAATGAGAGTGATAAGAGAGGATTTGAGATGTGTAATTTGAGATGTGTGAGAAGCGATAACAGGGGATGAGAGATTTGAGATGTGTAATAAGCGATAAGAGGGGATTTGAGATGTGTAAGAAGAGTGGATATGAGATGTGTAATAAGGGTGATGAGAGGGGATTTGAGATGTGTAATAAGCGATATGAGGGGATTAGAGATGTGTGAGAAGAGTGGATATGAGATGTGTAATAAGGGTGATGAGAGGGGATTTAAGATGTGTAATAAGCGACAAGAGGGAGATTTGAGATGTGTGAGAAGAGTGGATATGAGATGTGTAATAAGCGATAAGAGGATTTGGATGTGTGGAAGAGGAGGGGATTTGAGATGTGTAATAAGGCGATAAAAGGGGATTTGAGATGTGTGAGAAGAGTGGATATGAGATGTGTAATGAGAGTGATGAGAGAGGATTTGAGATGTGTAATAAGCGATAAGAGGTGATTTGAGATGTGTAATAAGCGATAAGAGGGGATTTGAGATGTGTGAGAAGAGTGGATATGCGATGTGTAATAAGAGTGATGAGAGAGGATTTGAGGTGTGTAATAAGCGATAACAGAGGATTTGAGATGTGTGAATGGAAAACGATCAAAAAAAAAGATAACAGTGGATATGAGATGTGTAAGAAGAGTAATGAGAGAGGATTTGAGATGTGTAATAAGCGATAAGAGGGGATTTGAAATGTGAGAGAAGAGTGGATATGTGATGTGTAAGAAGAGTGATGAGAGAGGATTTGATATGTGTGATAAGCGATGATGGGATTTGAGATGTGTGAGAAGAGTGGATATGAGATGTTCAATAAGAGTGATGAGAGAGGATTTGAGATGTGTAATAAGCGATAAGAGGGGATTTGAGATGTGTAATAAGCGATAAGAGGGGATTTGAGATGTGTGAGAAGAGAGGATATAAGATGTGTGATAAGAGTGATGAGAGAGGATTTGAGATGTGTAATAAGCGATAAGAGGGGATTTGAGATGCGTGAGAAGAGTGTATATGAGATGTGTAATAAGAGTGATGAAAGAAGATTTGAGATGTGTAATAAGGGATAAGAGGGGATTTGAGATGTGTAATAAGCGATAAGAGGGGATTTGAGATGTGTAATAAGCGATAAGGGGGGATTTGAGATGTGTGAGAAGAGTGGATATAAGATGTGTGATAAGAGTGATGAGAGAGGATTTGAGATGTGTAATAAGCGATAAGAGTGGATTTGAGATGCGTGAGAAGAGTGTATATGAGATGTGTAATAAGAGTGATGAAAGAAGATTTGAGATGTGTAATAAGGGATAAGAGGGGATTTGAGATGTGTAATAAGCGATAAGAGGGGATTTGAGATGTGTGAGAAGAGTTGATATGAGATGTGTAATAAGAGTGATGAGAGAGGATTTGAGATGTGTAATAAGCGATAAGAGGGGATTTGAGATGTGTAATAAGCGATAAGAGGGGATTTGAGATGTGTGAGAAGAGAGGATATAAGATGTGTGATAAGAGTGATGAGAGAGGATTTGAGATGTGTAATAAGCGATAAGAGGGGATTTGAGATGCGTGAGAAGAGTGTATATGAGATATGTAATAAGAGTGATGAAAGAAGATTTGAGATGTGTAATAAGGGATAAGAGGGGATTTGAGATGTGTAATAAGCGATAAGAGGGGATTTGAGATGTGTAATAAGCGATAAGGGGGGGGGGATTGAGATGTGTGAGAAGAGTGGATATAAGATGTGTGATAAGAGTGATGAGAGAGGATTTGAGATGTGTAATAAGCGATAAAAGGGGATTTGAGATGCGTGAGAAGAGTGTATATGAGATGTGTAATAAGAGTGATGAAAGAAGATTTGAGATGTGTAATAAGGGATAAGAGGGGATTTGAGATGTGTAATAAGCGATAAGAGGGGATTTGAGATGTGTAATAAGCGATAAGAGGGGATTTGAGATGTGTGAGAAGAGTTGATATAAGATGTGTGATAAGAGTGATGAGAGAGGATTTGAGATGTGTAATAAGCGATAAGAGGGGATTTGAGATGCGTGAGAAGAGTGTATATGAGATGTGTAATAAGAGTGATGAAAGAAGATTTGAGATGTGTATTAAGGGATAAGAGGGGGATTTGATTTGAGATGTGTAATAAGCGATAAGAGGGATTTGAGATGCGTGAGAAGAGGATATAAGATGTGTAATAAGAGTGATGAAAGAAGATTTGAGATGTGTAATAAGGGATAACAGGGGATTTGAGATGTGTAATAAGCGATAAGAGGGTGTTAGAGATGTTAGAGATGAGAAGAGTGGATATGAGATGTGTAATAAGGGTGATGAGAGGGGATTTAAGATGTGTAATAAGCGACAAGAGGGGATTTGAGATGTGTGAGAAGAGTGGATATGAGATGTGTAATAAGAGTGATGAGAGGGGATTTGAGATGTGTAATAAGCGATATGAGGGATTTGAGATGTGTGAGAAGAATGGATATGAGATGTGTAATAAGAGTGATGAGAGGGGATTTGAGATGTGTAATAGGCGATAAGAGGGGATTTGAGATGTGTAATAAGCGATAAGAGGGGATTTGAGATGTGTGAGAAGAGTGGATATGAGATGTGTATTAAGAGTGTTGAGAGAGGATTTGAGATGTGTAATAGGCGATAAGAGGGGATTTGAGATGTGTGAGAAGAGTGGATATGAGATATGTAATGAGAGTGATAAGAGAGGATTTGAGATGTGTAATAAGCGATAACAGGGGATTTGAGATGTGTAATAAGCGATAAGAGGGGATTTGAGATGTGTGAGAAGAGTGGATATGAGATGTGTAATAAGGGTGATGAGAGGGGATTTGAGATGTGTAATAAGCGACAAGAGGGGATTTGAGATGTGTGAAAGAGTGGATATGAGATGTGTAATAAGAGTGATGAGAGAGGATTTGAGATGTGTAATAAGCGATAAGAGGGGATTTGAGATGTGTGAGAAGAGTGGATATGAGATGTGTAATAAGAGTGATGAAAGAAGATTTGAGATGTGTAATAAGGGATAAGAGGGGATTTGAGATGTGTAATAAGCGATAAGAGAGGATTTGAGATGTGTAATAAGGGATAAGAGGGGATTTGAGATGTGTAATAAGCGATAAGAGGGGATTTGAGATGCGTGAGAAGAGTGTATATGAGATGTGTAATAAGAGTGATGAAAGAAGATTTGAGATGTGTAATAAGGGATAAGAGGGGATTTGAGATGTGTAATAAGCGATAAGAGGGGATTTGAGATGTGTAATAAGCGATAAGGGGGGATTTGAGATGTGTGAGAAGAGTGGATATGAGATGTGCATTAAGAGTGATGAGAGAGGATATGAGATGTGTAATAAGAGTGATGAGAGAGGATTTAAGATGTGTAATAAGCGATAAGAGGGGATTTGAGATGTGTAATAAGCGATAAGAGGGGATTTGAGAGTGTGAGAAGAGTGGATATAAGATGTGTGATAAGAGTGATGAGAGAGGATTTGAGATGTGTAATAAGGGATAACAGGGGATTTGAGATGTGTAATAAGCGATAACAGGGGATTTGAGATGTGTAATAAGCGATAAGAGGGGATTAGAGATGTGTGAGAAGAGTGGATATGAGATGTGTAATAAGGGTGATGAGAGGGGATTTAAGATGTGTAATAAGCGACAAGAGGGGATTTGAGATGTGTGAGAAGAGTGGATATGAGATGTGTAATAAGAGTGATGAGAGGGGATTTGAGATGTGTAATAAGCGATATGAGGGGATTTGAGATGTGTGAGAAGAGTGGATATGAGATGTGTAATAAGAGTGATGAGAGAGGATTTGAGATGTGTAATAGGCGATAAGAGGGGATTTGAGATGTGTAATAAGCGATAAGAGGGGATTTGAGATGTGTGAGAAGAGTGGATATGAGATGTGTATTAAGAGTGATGAGAGAGGATTTGAGATGTGTAATAGGCGATAAGAGGGGATTTGAGATGTGTGAGAAGAGTGGATATGAGATGTGTAACGAGAGTGATAAGAGAGGATTTGAGATGTGTAATAAGCGATAACAGGGGATTTGAGATGTGTAATAAGCGATAAGAGGGGATTTGAGATGTGTGAGAAGAGTGGATATGAGATGTGTAATAAGGGTGATGAGAGGGGATTTGAGATGTGTAATAAGCGACAAGAGGGGATTTGAGATGTGTGAAAGAGTGGATATGAGATGTGTAATAAGAGTGATGAGAGAGGATTTGAGATGTGTAATAAGCGATAAGAGGGGATTTGAGATGTGTGAGAAGAGTGGATATGAGATGTGTATTAAGAGTGATGAGAGAGGATATGAGATGTGTAATAAGAGTGATGAGAGTGGATTTGAGATGTGTAATAGGCGATAAAAGGGGATTTGAGATGTGTGAGAAGAGTGGATATGAGAAGTGTAATGAGAGTGATGAGAGAGGATTTAAGATGTGTAATAAGCGATAAGAGGGGATTTGAGATTTGTAATAAGCGATAACAGGGGATTTGAGATGTGTGAGAAGAGTGGATATGCGATGTGTAATAAGTATGATGAGAGAGGATTTGAGGTGTGTAATAAGCGATAACAGAGGATTTGAGATGTGTGAATGGAAAAAGATCAAAAAAAAAGATAACAGTGGATATGAGATGTGTAAGAAGAGTGATGAGAGAGGATTTGAGATGTGTAATAAGCGATAAGAGGGGATTTGAAATGTGTGAGAAGAGTGGATATGTGATGTGTAAGAAGAGTGATGAGAGAGGATTTGATATGTGTAATAAGCGATGATGGGATTTGAGATGTGTGAGAAGAGTGGATATGAGATGTTCAATAAGAGTGATGAGAGAGGATTTGAGATGTGTAATAAGCGATAAGAGGGGATTTGAAATGTGTGAGAAGAGTGGATATGTGATGTGTAAGAAGAGTGATGAGAGAGGATTTGATATGTGTAATAAGCGATGATGGGATTTGAGATGTGTGAGAAGAGTGGATATGAGATGTTCAATAAGAGTGATGAGAGAGGATTTGAGATGTGTAATAAGCGATAACAGGGGATTTGAGATGTGTAATAAGCGATAAGAGGGGATTTGAGATGTATGAGAAGAGTGGATATAAGATGTGTGATAAGAGTGATGAGCGAGGATTTGAGATGTGTAATAAGTGACATGAGAGGATTTGAGATGTGAGATAAGTGTGGATAATAGATGTCTAATAAGTAATATGAATGGATATGAAATGTGTGTTAAGAGTAGATATGAGATTTTCTGAAAATCTGTTTTGATAAAAAATATTTTATATTTGTCAACTGGTAGTAACGCTTAACTGCGCGCTTAATGAATGCCCGACGTTTCCTGTTTTGATATTACCATTACCATTGATTTTACCATTACTGCCTGGATTACATCACATTGAAACTCCGCTTCCCATACGAACACCTAAGTTAAGCAACGTCGATCCTTTTAATACCTAGATGGTTGACCTCTTAAGAATAGCTGTGAAGACACCTGTTTGGGCGAGCGTCTGTCACTATATTTTAAGTTGGCTACACCCTCTACTTTTTCGCGCTATACGAAATCTTGTCGCATTTGCTGTCATTTACAGGACAGATTTTTTTTTGTTTTTTTATCATAGTTACAAAAAAGATCATGCGGAAGCACCAGTAAGATTTCCTTCAACCAAGTAAAAACAATGAAAGAAATTTTTTTTCTAAATTGGGAAAATAATCGTTGTTTCGACTTTTCAAATGCTCTATCGTCCAAATAGATTTGCAATGTATTCTCGTCTTTTCAGCTGAGTTCTCGCGCGAACTGCTAAGCGAGCGATTAATTCAACAAAGGATTACGTCATTGAATTAATGATTCTTTTATGTATGTAATAACCGTCTACACAGGAAGTGCGATCGGTGAACCGAGTTCAAATTCCCGTCTAGTCTACTGGTTTCACTTTTGCACTCATTCCCTCCAATATTTCGTCAGAAATTGTCAGCCAGGCTGTAGGGCGAACCTCGTCGTCCCAAATCCGATACGTGGAATTTGCATGGTATCTACGATGTCTGGTGACTGCCCCAAGACCCTAGAGCGTTTGTTTTTCATTATATATATATATATATATATATATATATATATATATATATATATATATGTATATATATATATATGGAGAAATATAAATATGTGCTATATTTATGGGATAAAGTGATCAATATCAGAGATAGAGCGTGTGTAAATATAAAAGTGAACTTTTAAGTCAACACTTAGAGGCGACAGTCTGTTTCATGCTAGATGCAATCGTGGCCTGACGATTGTATATAGCATGAAACAGACTGTCGCCTCTAAGTGTTGACCTCTATGTTCATATATATATATATATATATATATATATATATATGCTTTAAAAATTACATCAGTTGAATCCGCTACCATCAGTTGCTATATTATTTTTAAAGGAATAAATAAACAAAGGCACGACGTTGGTTGTGATAGAAAGGTGGAATGAGGATGTTAAGAAAGAAGAGGAAGAAGAAGAAGAAGAAGAAGAAAAGAAGAAAAAAAGAAGAAGGGTGAAGAGAAGAAAAGCAATGGTTTTATAAATGTATCAGTGTTGGTGAGGGTTAATAGAAAAGATATTTTTTTTATCAAGCCTCATATGTGCTTAAGAGAAATCATTTAGTATGTATGAAAGGACGCATGACTTCGAATTTCTAGTGTGTGTATTTGTGTGTATGTGTGTGTGTATTTGTCTATCTGTGTGTGTGTGTGTGTGTGTGTGTTGACTTCTGGTCAACGAATTTCAGCACCCGGCTTTAATGGTGTGATCTAAAATTGTGTGTAATATAATCGATAACGGACTGGAAATTTTCGAAATTTCACCTAACGGAAGTATAAGTTGCTCTGTCAGTGAATGCTAAATGTTTCCTTTTAAGGAAACTGTTATCCTTGCAGAAACTATTACCATTTTATAAGAAAAAAAACAGTGAGTGGTAGACTCTCTTGTAGAGTCCGTTTATTTTTTGGCTGGTGTAATGAATAATGTCTAGGAATTATTAATCACCGATTTCCAGTTTCAATTTGGTTCATTAAATTGACACACGCCCAAATAACCTTGGGAAAGTTATGACTCCACATCTCCCCAGCTATGGATTAATTAGTAAGTATTGTAGTAGTAAATCATAATTGTCTCCAAAAACTCTTAAAATCTAAAAAAAATATTTCCTGGCTTTAATTAATTTACAAAAAGATTGATAAATCGTAAAAGACAAATCAATTTGAATTCCAAAAATCTGCAGGTGGTAACGCGAAGCTAATTTCTTATATTTCTAAAGAAATCAGGGCATTTCAAGGATGAAGCCGAAAGAATGTGGATAACGAAGAATTGCCTACGTCCTGTTGAAGCCCTTTGAAGAGATTCCGTTAGAATAATTGAAGGGATCCCTGGAAGCCCATGCCTTAAAGAAATACAAAAAAAATGTTCTCACGTGTACAGCCCTCACCTTACAAAGAGTCTTTTCTCTCTCTCTCTCTCTCTCTATATATATATATATATATATATATATATATATATATATTTGTGGAAAACGTCATGATGCCATTTCTAACCTTAGGTCCCTGGTCGGGACCCGGAAAGAAATGAGTACACATCAGAAATCAAAGGAAATAAAATAATAATGATAATAATAATAATAATAATAATAATAATAATAATAATATGATGCCAATAGAATATTAGAACGATCTCCCTGGGATAGACAGTATATCCATTGGTCAGTAAGTCGCGCATTCATCCTCCCTCGCCTAAAACAAAATTGAAATAGGTTAAAACAAGGAATAGAAACCTATCGATAGCATGAATCGACGGCAGAAAGGTGTTCGACAGTGTCATTTTACGTAAGTGTAATTTTCAGCACAACCATGACACCCCTATACAAGGTACCCTAAAATACATGCACGCAAGGTCTTCCTGACCGGTGGCTTTAATATATATATATATATATATATATATATATATATATATATATATATATATATATATATATATATATATATATATATATATATATATATATATAATTGATATTAATGATTTTTTGCGGGTTAAACCAGCTGAGGTTTTGTGGTGGTAATAGATCTGGCAAGATGCCATTCCTCGAGTCACGGCCAGAGCAGAACGAATAAAAATAAAAGAAAAAAGAAGTAAAAAAACACGGAGCCCTGATGAAAGTCGATGATGTTAATGCGTATATATGACATAAAAGTGACTATCTGTATTTAGGTATCCGACTTCGATAGGAAATATATTGGTTGTCTATAGGGGAATAGCAACGCAAACACGTGTACCCACTACAAACAACTTTTACAATAATGAAGAATAATGCCAGATAAAAAAATATTCTTTCAGATTCTTTTTCTACGGCTTGTCAATCCTATGCAGGTTATTTAAAGCCAGAAAATGTTTTTGGATTGTAAGAATTTTCTTTTTCAGATAATGAGGATTTAATGATATAAATCTTACTAATTAAAAGAGGCCGACTTATACTTTTTCCAAGGGTATTTGCGTGTAAGTGAATACAACGAACACTGTAAAATTGAAAATCGGCTTCCTGATTAAAAATTCCGAGTAATCCATTATGCTGCCCTAACATCCAAGTTTACAGCATCTTCTATTTCCAAGCGGTTACCCACCTCGGTACTGATCAAGCTCGACGTGAACATACGGGAACCGATGTTTCCACGCGATATAGCCGTAATCCTAAAAAATTACAATTTATGTTTCACCGTTTTTGTGAATCAAGATAAGTTCAAATAGACTGAATTCTTCAGGCTATCTGACAGAAGAACCTCACTATGAAAGTCTTCCGCTGAGACACGGCATTGTCTATAATTGGGTGTATTTTTTATTTACTCAAAATTCCGTACAAAATATGTCCTTCGAATTCTCTTACAACATCACGGAATGAAAAAAACTGCAGTTGTTGTCCAGAAGTCTCTGGAAAGGCACAACACAGATACACTCTAATGACATCAGGACATCAATGAGGATGAAATCAAAAAACAACCATGCACAAGGCTAAGGAAAAAGCACGAAGATGCACCGAGGCGAGTAGTCATGCTCTTATCCAAAGTTAAAAAAACATCTATAGATTAACTAATAAGATTCTTTAAGAGAAACGTACAAGCGATCCATCGCCAAAGTTCCTGGCAATATACATGGCTCCTTATACAGCTCCAGAAAATGCATGGCTCTCTCCCGCCAGTTACAATTTTTACAAAAGTCACATCTGCCTAAAAGCAAAACTTTACCAGAGTCAGATTTGCCCAGAAGCAAAGTTTTACAAAAGTCAGATCAGACCAAAAAAGCTTTACAACAGTCAGATAAAACAAAACAAAGCTTTACAACAGTCAGATTAGACTAAAAAAATGCTTTAAAAAAGTCAGATAATACAAAAGGAAATCTTTACAAGAATCAGATTTGCTCAAAAACAAAGCTTTACAAAAGTCAGATCAGACCCGAAAAAGCTTTACAAGAGTCAAATAAAAGAAAAGGAAAGCTTTACAAGAGTAGGATCAGACCAGAAGGAAAGCTTTACGAAAGTCAGATCAAACGAAAAGAAAAGTTGTTCAAAAGACAGATAATACCAAAAGAAAATCTTTCCCAGAGTCAGACCAGGCTAATAAGAAAGCTTTACAAAAGACAGATCAAATCAAAAATAGTATTTCCCAATCAGACCAGGCTAATAGGAAAGCCATATCTGAATAGCAACAGTCTTGGGCTCACTTTACATTTCAAAAGCTTTTACCCAGCCTTAGAGGTGATGAATTTGTACCCACTCGACACGCCCTGTCCAACAAACGAAATGTCACAAGCCGTCGTAGACAGTGGCTTGGTAAAGGGGAAGGACCTCAGTCACAGCCGAGAAGGGAACTTCATGGGCAAAAGGTTCTTCTTTCAATTTAGTGGGATCGCCAAGGAATAATCCATTTTGAATTCTTACCACCTAATGCAACAATTAATGCTTAAATATAGTGTCAGAAATTAGAGCGTTTGAACCAAGCTTTGAGGAAAACAAGACCTGCTCTAGTGAATCGAAAAGAGGTGATGTTTCATCAGGACAATACGCGACCCCACACAGCAAGAATCACGTCACAAAAGATTGAAGAACTTGGTTGGGAG